CCCACTGCAGTCAGCATGTCGTTGTGTCCCTGGGCAAGACACTTCACCCCAAATTGCTCCTGTGGGGATTGCCCACAGTATTGAGTATGTACGTCGCTTTGGATAAAAGCGTCTAACAAGTAACATGTCATGTAATGCAAACCATGAACACCTATCACTAATAGGGGAAATTAGCTAAAGAGACCAAAGCCGCCTTTCATACCAGGCTGTAGACGTGTTTTATTCTGCTGCAAAGTTTAAAATGTAGGTATATGTAGAATGACTCCCTCTTGAAGCCAGCATTAAGTGCAGTTTTTGCACTGTTATTTTTAAACCAAAAGCAACAACTAAAATGTGAACTCAGCACTTAACCATCCATCTTTCCTCTTCCTTAGTGACACCATTTGTGACCTGGGAGGGGTGGACGAACTGGCCAACTACGGAGAGTACTCCGGCGCACCCAGTGAGCAGCAGACCTATGACTACGCTAAAACAATCCTCTCCCTCATGACAAGGGAGAAACATCCTCAAGGTCGGTGCAGCCAACACTCGTTGAGACTTGTTTTTCCCCAACAAGGTCAATAAAACAAGCCACAAAAAGCCTCGGGAGACAGACTTTATGAAACCAAGCTTGACTGTTTTATATTAATAGAATGTTTGCTTTAAGCAATAAAATGTGGGTTCTGCAATGTGACCTTCATTTTTTTGTTAAGATTGTCACAAGACCGCTGTTCACTGTGTGTGGGATGCCAGCAATAGACCTCATGGCTGTCACCAAACTGTAACTGGGGTGTCGCATTTCAGTCATGAACATCTTCCTAACAACACTACTCTCTCTGTTTCCTGCAGGGAAAGTGCTGATCATCGGAGGAAGTATTGCCAACTTCACCAACGTAGCTGCAACATTCAAGGTGAAACGCATGAATATAGGAAAAACATCATGAAAAGTAAACCCCAATCCAAATCTTATTATAGATCTTTAAGTGTGTTAAAGCTAGGGTGCGTAACATTGGAAAAGATGAAGTGATATTTTTAAATGATCCAACCCCAATACACAGACCAATAGAGTGGTGCAGATTTAAAAGACGGAGATTATCCGACTGAACAAAACGTGATCCGTCTCTTAAATGCGTGTCAACCACAGACCTTATTTCCAGCTATTTTCCAAAACCCTATGGAGAAATTGCATTGCCTTTTTGTCGAGGGAACAGGAAGGGACCCATTCGCAGCTTACTTCCGGGTTTGAGGACGTGTCACTGCACCACTCTATTTCCGTGTCTCTGAGCAGCTGTTATTGACTGACACCTTTCTCTCTCTCCTTAGGGCATTGTCAGGGCAATCAAAGACTACCAAGGTCCTCTGAAGGAGCACGAGGTCACCATCTTTGTTCGACGTGGCGGACCCAACTACCAGGAGGGGCTGAGGGTGATGGGAGAAGTAGGTGAGTGAGATGAAGCTAAAGGTGACAAGAAAGAGACCAAGACTCGTTTGTTACTTTAGAAATGCTTGATAAACTGATTTCAGCGTCTGATTGTTGGCTGTAAAAGCGGCAGGCACTGATAGATGGTCGACCCCGACTCTCTTCCAACAACTAATTGTCATTAAAAGAAATGTAACATATTTATTTGAACAGCTATGTCTCTGTTGTTTGTCTCTTTCTGCAGGGAAGACCACAGGTATTCCTATCCATGTGTTCGGTACTGAGACCCATATGACGGCCATTGTTGGAATGGCTCTGGGCCACAAGCCGATCCCTAACCAGCCGCCCATGGACGCTCATACGGCTAACTTCCTCCTCAACGCCAGCAACAGTGCAGCGGTACTTACATTCAGTCACACAATGAGAACATTTGACATGACCTGCAGCTCTTTTATTTTAAACACATTACAGATGTCATATTGCTGGAGATGAATTTCAATGTGCCAATTATCCAGTTGGAATTCACATTTTGAGCTGTCCTTATCATGCATGTTCAAACACTATTTAAGGTTTGGAGTTTGTAACTTGCTTGAGTAGCTCTATTGTGAAGCCTTACAGTTTTCTTTTTTTATGGTCTGTCTGCTACTCGGCCTTTTTGTTTGTCAGCTGTGGTTTTTCTTTGAAATGTATACCTTTCACAGCTATAAGGACTTGTGATAAGCTCATACATTGCATGTGTGCACTGAAATGTAAAACGTATACTGTAAGGGGGAAATGGTTGGTTCCCTTCTACCATTTCTTCTTGCAAGCTTCCGTAAAGCTTTCAATAACATGAATGTTTCTCTATTTCTTTTGTACCAGACTCCAGCAACAACAAGGACAGCTTCATTCTCCGAAGCAAGGACGTCTAACGATGTCACCCCGGCTAAAAAGTCTAAAGCAGGTCTTCCAGCAGGTAACTAACACAGTGTTACTGTAGTCCACAGTCTAATGAGCACAACCCCATATGTACTCGTACGCTTTTTCATTTCACTGATCCCTGCGGCCTCTATTTCTCCCTTCCCTCCCCCAAATGCTACTTTTCTGCTTTTTAATTTTCATTCAATTTGTTCCTCCTCCTCTTCTTTGGTTTGCTGCACAAACTGTGTCCTCTCACCCTCGTCCTTTTCATGCTCGTTTCTCTAAGACTCTCTTCATTCTATACTGTGGCCTCTGAAGAATGTGGTCATAGGCGATTGGAAAGGTGAGTGATAGGTGTGCCATGCCCACACTGCGCTCGGCTCCTTGTACCCCTCTACTGAAGTGTGTGTGTGTGTGTGTGTGTGTGTGTGTAAACGGTGTTGTGGTATTAATAAGTTCAGCACAGGCTATTTCAAAGTAAGATTTCAATTTGGGCTTTCCCTTTTTAAAGTAAAGGCATGCTCTGTAGCAGCTGAGCTTTGCATGGTGTTTCCTCTGGTCTGCTTTTATGAAGAGATGACACAGTTTACAGAATGCACTGAAGTCTGTTTTATGAATGAAGATGCACTCATTATGTTCTCATTTTGTGTTCCTGCCCCGTTGGGTCACAGAAGCGATAGCCTCTTCAGGCTGCAGCAGAGGTAGGGAAGGGTGTGAACAAACCTGTCCTCCTGCCCTCTCAGCCCTCTTCCCCCTGCCTTCACATTTTTGTCTTTTTGCTGATGTTTCCCCGCAAGCTGTTCTGTTTAGGTGTTGTTAGGGTGGCTTACTCCCCTTTTTAAGGGTGGCTGTTTTTTCTGAACATACATTTGTTAAGGAAGCATACATCAACAGTGACATTGGTGAATAATTCTTATATATTATAAGAATAAACAAAACTATGATGTATGACAGCCTAAACGAGTCAATCATTTTAACATTGGCCTTACCCTTTTAAGGCCAGCACATCCTTATTCAATTTGATCAAAATGGCAATGTGGCTTACTGTGGGGGGGGGAAAAGTGTCAGAAATCCCCTGCAAAAACTCACCATAATCATTTTAATATATCTTTTGAAAAAGGATAATTTACTCTTATAATACAATATCAGTCAAATTATTCCCAGTTATGTTTTTTACAAAGGCAGTGAGTCTGGAGAGAGAGGAGAGACTTGCGAGACTTTAAACTAATGTGTGGCATGATGGTGACTAACTGAAAACAAATTCCAAACCACATTATACCCTAACATGACAATCTGCATTTTGAACCTAATACATACTACTCTGGGGGTTGCTTTATCTGGACCTTGCTTTGAAATATGTTAATTGAATAACAAGATGACAACTTTATCATCACAATTGAGGCTTACAGCTTGTAGGGTGATTTTTACAGTGCTAATTTTTACAAACTCAGAGTAAAAAATGTGAATATATATATATACATACATACATACATACATACATACATACATACATACATACATACATACATACATACATACACACTACATAGACTTTTAGGTGGTTACAAATGTGTGGGGTTTATATTACAATGCACGTATAAAGACCTGCCATGTCAATATGGCCGGCAAACTGCATCAGAGAAACATGGCCTTCCTTCTGGAGCGATGTTTGTTATGGTGATGAGTTGTTTTCTCTACCTCCTGTGTCTCTGTTGTTACCATTCGCATTCCTGCTGTTTTCCTGAGCCTGAACCCCCCTCCCCCTCCCCCTCTTGCCAGTTGTGATTTTTATTTCTGCTTAAATCGCCAAATTCATTTTCTCTCTGTCTGACTTCTCTTTCTTTCAGCTAGAGCCACCACGCTCTTCAGAAAACAAACCAAGGCCATAGTGTGGGGTATGCAGACGCGTGCAGTGCAAGGCATGCTGGACTTTGACTACGTGTGCTCCCGCGACGAACCCTCTGTGGCAGCCATGGTGTACCCCTTCACGTAGGTTCCCCAAGATCTTAAGTTTGTTTAAAATCAGTTGAATTACAGGACTTTGTATTCCACTGATTATGACAATCTCCACAGTGTTCCAAAAATATCCTCCTTATTTCAGTTTCAGTGCAGACATCATGTGGCGTTGTCTTATAATGTGTGTTGTTGCTACCAGATCCAAATGTTAAAAGAAAAACTACACAGATCACTTTGTCACATTGTGTAAAGAATTAAGCAGACATTTCTTCCACCCATACATTAGTTTCATATCCTAATATCCTGTTTTAACTTGTCAGATATGCATGTCTTTTATCAAGTCATATTTTACCTTGGTTAAATTGATCTGAAGATGAACCTGTACTCGACTATACACCAAATATTTGTATTTATAGTCTTCTGCCTTGTGTTACGTAGTGGGGATCACAAGCAGAAGTTTTACTGGGGTCACAAGGAGATCCTGACCCCCGTCTATAAGAGCATGGACGACGCCATGAAGAAGCACCCCGAGGTGGACGTGCTGATCAGCTTCGCTTCACTGCGCTCAGCCTTCGACAGCACAATGGAGGCCATGCAGCATCCACAGGTACAAAGACTTACTGTAAAATATGTTTACATATATGCCCATACATCACTGCATAAAGGTTAAGGATGCAGTTCTACATGAAAGTCATCTCTCTCATCTGATTGTGTTTTCAGATTCACACAATCGCCATCATCGCTGAGGGCATTCCTGAAGCTCAGACAAGGAAGATAATCAAGATGGCAGACGAGAAAGGTGTCACTATCATCGGCCCTGCTACGGTATGATTCATATCTCACCAAGAGATACAAAAAAAGGATCGCTTTCCAAATACTGCTGTAGACTGTCAATGCAGGTGTCATTGTTTTTGTCTGAGTGTATAAACGCTTTTAATAATCAGGCTGTAAGCGGAAAACGATCAAATTTACAACTGGCACACATATGATACCCATTCTTTTTTGTGTCCTAGGTTGGTGGCATCAAGCCGGGTTGTTTTAAGATCGGCAACACAGGTGGCATGCTGGACAACATCCTGGCTTCCAAACTGTATCGCCCTGGCAGCGTTGCTTATGTGTCGCGCTCTGGGGGCATGTCCAACGAGCTGAACAACATCATCTCCCGCACCACAGACGGCGTCTATGAAGGTGTGGCCATCGGGGGGGACAGGTAAATAACTTATTAGCTGAGGAGTGATGTATGTCCAGTTAAAAAACCTGTTGTAAAACTATTGTCTTTTTTTTTTTTTTTTTAATGTTCCAGATATCCAGGCTCCACCTTCATGGACCACGTCCTTCGTTACCAGGACACTCCAGGTGTTAAGATGATAATTATGCTGGGAGAGGTGAGAGTTGCTCCACTAATGTTTATATTTTCAGATTAACCTCAACACAATGTTGTTTTTCTGTCATTTTGCATTTTTCAAATCTCTTTCACTATGATAACCCAGATTGGAGGCACAGAAGAGTACAAGATCTGCCAAGGCATCAGTGAAGGCAGGATAACCAAGCCTGTGGTGTGCTGGTGTATTGGAACCTGCGCCACCATGTTCACTTCAGAGGTTTGGTGGCCACAATGATTCAAAACATGCTTGAATTGAGTTTTTGAGCTCAACCTGTCTCACTGCCATCTTCAGGTTCAGTTTGGCCATGCAGGAGCCTGCGCCAACCAGGCTTCAGAGACAGCAGTAGCCAAGAACCAGGCCCTGAGGGACGCCGGCGCTTATGTACCAAAGAGCTTTGATGAGCTGGGTGATGTCGTCAAGTGAGAAATTCATCACACAGTCACACCACAGGATGTCATTGAATAGTTTGGGGGTTTGAGCTGATTTTGTGAATATATTGTTAAACAGGACTGTTTATGACGAACTGGTGGCCGATGGTACCATCATTCCTGCTCAGGAGGTGCCCCCCCCTACAGTGCCTATGGATTACTCTTGGGCCAGGGTAAGGAACTTTATTATTACTTCTTAGAAACATTTGGCTTATTTTTCCCGCTTTTCTTTCAAATGCATCTCTGCTGGCCACTAAAGAATAATATGTTGAATCTGGTATAATTACAATTTACAATACATTTGATAGGATAAGGTGAATGTATAAAGAGAATTTATGTATAAACTATTAACACATTTTGACCTTTTGAACGTGGTGCCTAAAAGTCGAAATATTAGACTTGTCAGTTTCCTCTGGTGGACAAAATATGTAATGGCGCCACTGTTTCCATTCCATCTGCATACAGTATAAGCCAATACTGATCTCTGCTATAAACTGTAATGACATTTTCACACTGTTATTTTTACCTATCTTAATGTTTCTCATTTTCTTTAAAGCACTTTGAATGGCCTTGTTTTAAAAGGTGCTATATGAATAAACGTGCCTTGCCACCCAGTTATTATTGATTTAACCCTCCTCTGGTTCTCCTGCAGGAGTTGGGTCTGATTCGTAAACCAGCCTCCTTCATGACCAGCATCTGTGACGAGCGAGGCCAGGAGCTCATCTACGCCGGCATGCCCATCACAGAGGTCTTTAAAGAGGAGATGGGTCTAGGAGGAGTGCTGGGCTTGCTTTGGTTTCAACGAAGGTCAGTATGACGCCTAGACTACAACTGGTGATATGTTACCGAGAGAAGAAGTGTCAACTGGCTTAATTTCCTACACATAGATCTGTAGAGGAATAAGCTGTGCTGTGTTTGTGTCTAGGTTGCCGCGCTATGCCTGCCAGTTCATTGAGATGTGCCTGATGGTGACAGCTGATCACGGACCTGCTGTCTCTGGAGCACACAACACCATTGTCTGTGCTCGTGCTGGCAAGGACCTTATTTCAAGCCTCACCTCGGGCCTGCTCACCATTGTAAGCACTGCTTTGACACTTGTGCACATGTACCATCAATACAAGTAGTAATGTTGATTTTCTTTAAAAAAAAATAGCTGTAAAGTTGCAATGATGTTTGAGCCTGTGATGAAAGCCCTTAATATAAAACATTTGTATTGAAACAAGTGAAAGTTGGATCTAAAGACACATGCCGTTACCGCTTATTTCTATAGGTTCCACCAAAGAAAACACAACATAGATCTAAGAAATTGTGACTTTAACCAGAAAACAATGACAGCAATTATGAAAATGCTCACCTGTCATCACCTATCTCCTCTGTACTGAAGCATTGTTCATTCATGAATTCCAGGGGGACCGTTTCGGAGGCGCTCTGGATGCAGCTGCAAAGCAGTTCAGCAAGGCATTCGACAGCGGCATGGTGCCGATGGAGTTTGTCAACAAGATGAAGAAGGATGGCAAGCTGATCATGGGCATCGGCCACAGAGTCAAATCAGTAAGCGGTGCTCAGTTTCTCATACTCTCTCAAGTTAACTCATCAAGCTATATAAAACAATGGTACTGATTAATGAACACAGTTGTTAAGATTATGCCTAAGAATAATTATTGTTATAGTTAAAATCAAACTAAATGAATATCTACAGTTAAGAGCTTTCATTAGAAATAAAACATTTGTCTGTTTTCAGATCAACAACCCAGACATGCGTGTGCAGATTCTGAAGGACTATGTCAAACAGAATTTCCCCTCCTCCGTAATGCTTGACTACGCCCTAGACGTAGAGAAGATCACCACCTCTAAGGTACTTGTCAGCTTTATTATCAAAAGTGAACAACATTTGAAACGCACAATGTTTTCAATGGGACTATTTCAACTTTTTTCATTTGACATTATATAGTGCAATTTACCGTTATTCCTGTGACATGTTTCAGAAACCCAACCTGATACTCAACGTAGACGGCTTTATTGGTGTTGCCTTTGTGGACCTGCTCAGGACATGTGGTGGCTTCACACGGTAAGAATAAAACTGCAAGACATATTTTATATTTCTACAATAGAATCGTTCAATATAGTCATTAATCATCTCTGAATACACCAGCTTTCATATGAGGAACCTCATCTTCTTATGACTCTAAACTATTTAAAAATCCATTTTATTAAACTGAAACTTCAGAGGCCAAAAGTGCATTGTCTTTTCTCTGTAATAGTAAACACACAGTGGAGTATTGTTTCTCACATGAATGTTGAACCGGTTCCAGAGACGAGGCTGACGAGTTTGTGGAGATCGGTGCACTAAATGGGATCTTTGTCCTTGGCCGTAGTATGGGATTTATTGGTGAGTTCCATTCCAACAGAGCCATGATCATTTGTAATATAAATTGTAAAAAGAAAACATCTAACTGGTCTTTTTCTTGCATTAGGGCATTACCTGGACCAGAAGAGGCTGAAACAGGGTTTGTACCGCCACCCGTGGGATGACATCTCATATGTGCTTCCTGAACATATGTCCATGTAATCTCTGCATCCCAGAAGAGGACGCGCTTCCAGATGTGACTGCCCAAATGGGTCAGGCAGCATTTCACATCTCACTTAAGGTTTATGTACTCTCTCTGGTTGTGATAAACTGTAGCCTTGGGGAAACTGGGCAGGGTCATTCTAGAAAAAAAAAGTACTGTCTGGCTGAGGGATATGGGAAAAAGTTTTCAATCTAGTTTTTATGGAAAAAAGGGGAATTATATTTTTAGATTTAGTTTTTGACAAATTATTTAAAGTATGCGATGTAACTTATTCAATTTTGACCACAAACCCAAACCACAGCTGTTGCAGAAGCACCAAATCAATTGGAACTTTTAATAAAAAGGCAAAAACTGCAGGATTCAAAGCACATTTCAAACCTGACCCCGGCATTACGCTGGCTTTTCTGTTAATCTTCAGTAAAGGCTACTGATGTGGCATTTTTCAAGCTCTACCATACCATGTCTTTTTTTTAAACTACTCAAAATAGTTTATAACAATTGATTTGATTTAGTCCACAAGAAAGTGAGCTTGATTATGCTTTCTAAGTATTGCACCTTAGTTAAAACACGTTGTAACGCAAATAATGTCAGATTAAAACTCCTCCTTCGGTGTTCATCCCATTAGGGAAGGTCCTTTTTAAACCAAAGTCATTATTAGGGAATTTGTCATCTTTGTTAAAAGTGAAATGTTGTTACGGGTCCAGTGTTGGATATTCCAGAGCTAATCAAGATCTCATGTTTTGGAAAGGAGGTATTCTACTGAGATAAAGGAACTAAACGATGAATTAAGTGGTACTACACTATTGCCTTTACAAGAACAACCCTGGATGTAAACCAGTGGTTGAAATTCATCGGTTACTGTCAATTAGATGCAGTTTTAGGGAAGTCTTTCACACCAAGTATAAATTGAACTTTTTGTATTCTGAATAACTGTCATAAAACAGGAAAATGTAGAAGCATCAGAAGGGGAGTGACAAAATGCTTCATGAATGAGCCCTTTGAGTCTTTGAAAGCGCATTTCTGTGAGGGACCATGAAAGCGGTTTGCTTTACTTGGGAGAGTTATTGCACATAATACAAATAATAATACAGTTCTGGCTTGACACCGATTCAACGCTTTGTTACCACCCACTGTACGGCCTGCTGTGTTCGATCTTTGTTTTGCTGTTTCTATTTAACTGTGAAAAAAATGCTTTGTTTTTTTGTAATACGCTGTCGTATAATAATAAAGAACTTATTGTTTTACTTTTCATTTTTGGCTGAATAATGTGTGTATAATGTCTAAATATTTTTTAGGTCCAGTAAAGATGAACAAATCCTCTGAAACACTCCTCCATCAAAGTGTATGAAGATTTGCTCTTTTGTCAAGTTGTTAAGAGAAGTTATTTTCAGTGGGAATGTAATTGCTAATGAAATACTTGATGTATCATCTCCAAAGACAAACATAGGGAACATTTTCATTCAAAAGTAAAAATGTTGAGGTTAATATTGAAAGAAAATGGTAGATATTATAGATATAAATAATAGCTGCATGACTTAAATTAGTAAGTTAGTTTGAAGATCTGAAGGTAATTTTTGATTAAAGGATATTACATGAGTGTTTTGAGATATATTATATATAATAAACTTTATTTATATAGCACCTTTCATGCAAGATGCAGCCCAAAGTGATAATTGCTGGAGAAAATGTTACTCAAGAAAGCTGAAATTACAAGCAGCACCAGAAGTTAGATGCGTCGCAACACGCATGCGCGAATACGATGCACCCTTTAAACAAAGTTAAATTTCACTCTAAAGACGTGTTAATGCGTCATAACATCAAAAAAAAAATGGATCATGCGGGACTTGACTGTATGCGTCCAGGATATCGGTCTATTGTGTGGACTTCGTTATTATCTTAAATCGTAGAGCCTCTCTGACTCTACAGCCAAAATCGAGTACATTCGGAAAATTCTTAAAGACGGAAGTGAGCACTCCTGTTTTTCGACCAAGACTGAGCGCTGCGCATGCATGTCAGTTTTTGAATGTTTATTTACTTGTGTTATACATGCCTATGAGTTCTTCCCGAAGATACAGAGCTTTAATCTGCTTCTTAGTCTATCCCGCTGCGGAATGGCAGCGGCAGCAGAAGCAACGGAGGACCGCAGCGGCGGAGCGCTAACAGGTGACGGGGAACCTGAGGAGGCCGAGGACTTCACCTGCTCGGCCTACTGCTCCGAGCTCTCTCGGCGGCAGAACGAGCAGAGGAAGTCGGGGCTTTTCTGCGACGTGAGCCTGGTCTTTAGCTCCGGAGGGGTGTCTGAGGAGGAGAGGGTCCAAACCTTAGCCGCCCACCGCTCGGTGTTATCCGCAGCGTCGCAGTACTTCACGCTGCTGCTGGGCGGTGACTTCTCGGAGTCTAAGTCGGGGCGAGTGGAGCTCAAAGAATGGAGCTCACCAACGGGACCAGACCCAGACACTGTGGAGAGTGTTATACAGTTTATGTACACTGGACAGATCAGGGTGACCACTGCCAATGTGCATGAAGTGTTGGAAGTGGCTGACAGGTAAAACATTTCAAACCATATTTCAAAATATTAATATACTTCCTCTTACACGGAAGTGTGGGCTTTTGTCCTACAGGTTTTAGCCTCTATTGATACATGAGCCACACCTGTCTGTGTCCTCACATCAGCAGGTGTGACTGGTTTTGAGTTTACACACCTGTGCCACTTGGCACTCCACTGTTCACCAAGTGCATATATATGGGCCTAAATGGTGGTGTAAGTTATTTGGGAAATCAAACAAGGACTTTTGAAAAACATTACATTGTAATGCCATGTACCTGCCTCAGTGTTCTGGTATTGTGCATGCTGGCTGCTGTCACAGTGCCGTTGGCTCAGGCTTAGGCTTACTAATGTAACACCTGTGTTTTTCCTACTGTGACATGTCAACATTTCTGACTTTTCTATGTATTATATCATAAGCAGTAGGTTGAAGTGTTTATGTTAAGAAAAATGATGTAGCTGCCACATGGGCCCGAAAAAGCTGTTGGTAGGTAAGTTTAACAACAAGATACATCCCAGGTAAAATCACTTGGAGACCAACAATTTGGCTTATTTAAGCATTGTACTGCAAGAAACTAAACAACTAAAAAAAAGTAAACCACTACAATACATAACATGTTTTCTGGCTGACAGTGCCTAGGTTTATTTTGCTTATCAACGTTTCTACAGGGTGTATTTCCGAACATGAGTTTTAACTCGATATCTAATGTTTTTTTACCTAAATCTTTTGTTTTATCTTACTATTTGCAGGATTTAGTTCCATCTGCTTTTACTGATTAATTAATCTCGACTCCAATTTAATTTGTATTACTGCTCCTACAGGTTCCTGTTGGCCCAGCTGAAGAACTTCTGCGGAGAGTTTCTGATGAAGAAGTTGAATTTATCCAACTGTGTAGCGGTGCACAGCCTCGCCCACATGTACACCTTGGACACGCTGGCCTTGGGAGCAGCCAAGACGATTAGAAGAAACTTTCACAAAATAATCAGCAACGAGGAATTCTTCACGCTGCCATTTCACCTGGTCCGGGACTGGCTGTCAGACTCAGGGATCACTGTGGACTCTGAACAGGAGTTGTTTGAGGCTATAGTCAAATGGGTGCACCAAAACACAGAGGAGAGAGAGAAGCAATTTGAGGAGCTGTTCAAACTTTTACGGCTGCCTCAGATTTCTCCTACTTACCTGAGCAGGGTGGTGAGGAAGGAGCCCTTAGTGGAAAACAATGCGGCCTGTCAGCAGCTGGTGATGGAGGCCCTCGAGGTCCACGCTGTTCACTTTGAGAACCTCAAGTCAGCTGATTTTGAGCTCTGTGCCTCCTATACGGCAGCAATCCAGCCACGACTCGGCCAGAACATGGATGTAATCATGGTAGTCGGTGGTGTTTCAGAAGGCGGAGACTATTTGAGTGAGTGTGTGGGCTACTTTGTTGCTGAAGACCGTTGGGTAAACCTGCCCCACATTCACAACCATCTCGACGGACACGCTATCGCAGTCAATGACCACCATGTTTATGTGGCAGGCTCCATGGAACCAGGTTTCGCCAAGACGGTGGAGCGCTTCAACCCCAACCTCAACTCCTGGGAGCAGGTCAGCAGCCTGACAACCCGCAAGCACTCCTTTGGCCTCACAGGTGTCAAAGACTTACTCTACAGCATCGGTGGCCATGGCAACTTCAGTCCAGGCTTTAAGGACGTTACTGTCTACGAGCCGGAGCAGGACGAGTGGCACAATCTGGAGCCAGCACCGAAGATACTAAGAGATGTAAAAACAGTGAGCATAGAGGACCGCTACATCTATGTGATGGCAAGGACTCCTGTAGACATGGACAATGAGGACGGACTGAGCACTGTGACCACCTGCTACGATACAGAGAGTCACAAGTGGCAGGAAGTGGACTCCTTGCCGCTTGTTGATAATTACTGTAGTTTTCAAATGGCTGTCGCATCCACCAACTTCTACCACACAGCTTCTTGTTGCTCAAAGAGCTACAAGGTAACACTTCAGGATGCTCAGCAGACAATAAGCCGAGACATCTCTGAGGAAATCCTGGACAGCCTCCCTCCAGAGGTCCTCAGCATGGAGGGTGCTGCTGTTTGCTACCTGGGTGAAGACGTTTTCATCATTGGCGGCTGGAGGAACTGCAACAACATGGACAAGCAGTACCGCAAGGAGGCGTACCGTTACTGTGCTGAGAGGAAGCGCTGGATGCTGCTGCCGCCCTTACCCCAGCCCCGCTGCAGAGCCGCAGCCTGCCACGTCCGCATCCCGTACCATTATCTCCACGGCTGCCAGCACTACCCCATGCCCCAGAACCTGGCTCGCCAGCGGGACCGCATGCAGCAGATGCAGCAGCTCCACCGACGCACGCTCACTCTGCGCAGACAGCTGCAGTCTCAAATCGAATGTTGAGAGATTCTTCTAGTAAGCACTTAATCTGCTGATACATGCCTTGCTGTTACCATGTAACCTTTGTCTTATTTTTTGCCTTTTATTGAGGTCAAATGTCTGCATGGATTGACCTGGGGCTGGTTAAGATAAAAAAGAAATATATATATATATATATATAATTAACCGGATGTGCTCTTAATTTATCCATCTTACATTTTAATTTTGGCCTTGCATTATTAACCTATGCCTTATTCTGCCAGTAAATCAAACTGATTGTTGTCTAATTTCTGAAAATATTGATGTCATTGCCAAAACAACTTAGCCCAGCTTTATGTGCTCTGTGTTAACACCTAATGAGGTCAACGTGGTGTGGTGAAAAACAGTTGACAGTGATACCTTTTAGGTTTAATTAAAATGTTGTGTTTGGATCTAAACTTTAAAGTAATGTTTGTCTATGTTTATTGTCATGTTAATTGTTGTTAATTATAGGTGTGTGGATAATTAAGTTACTGTAACAACCAGATGGGCTTTCCCTATTTTACTCCTCCTGCTACTTTAATGTTTCTTCTACCTCCAGTTTCCACCATGTTTTTTTTTGCACTCTAGGGCTTCACACATCTAAATCATTTTGTGTATACATAGTGTGTATGTTGCGTGTGCCCTACTTAAAGTGGTCAATCATAATATTTGTAGCAAAACTCAAGTATTCAGCGCAGCACATATTCAGGAATTTATGTTATCCCCTTCTTAAAACATAAGCTAGCTTAATACATGTTTGCACTAAAGTAAGTGCATTACTTTTTTCATATTGTACAACACTTAGCCATTCCAATGGATATGTATACATGTGTATGATTTATTTGAACAAAATGTGCATTATTTGATTATACAGGTCTATTATTTATTTCCACCTAAATTCTCGTCCCATTCGACTTTGTTAAGACTCTTACTTATGACTCAAGGTCTTTAAGACACTGGCTTTGTGGACTAATTGGGTTTGTTTCCTTTGTCCTTCTTGCAGAATTGGCACTGTGTCTTACTTTGTCTTACTGCACTTAGAAATGTGGGTAAAACAATAAACAACAAGGCTTTTTATGTGCATTAGGTCTTCGATATTCCAAAAAAACCACAGCTGCTCATTAATACATTTGAAGTCACTGTTACCTGCACTAAAGGGACTTTATTGTTAAGTTAATCACTGTAAAGTGTTGCTTTCTGTTTTGCTTTCTATTAATATGATCTAATAAGGCTTTGCTAGGCTAACAGTGTTTCATACTGTTTGTAATGTGAACCGTATAAATTGATCAGTTGTATGTGGAG